ATATATTTTAAAAAAAAAAAAAAAAAAAGAGATGGACAGTCCCTGGTTTATGCTTCAGCCGTTCTAAGGCCTCAAGGTCATCAGGTCCATTTCCTGCCGCATGCAAGTTTCTTAATAAAAGATTAAGTAATCTTTCTTTGAACACCCCCAGTGAAAGACTATACTTTCAGGGATCATTTCTATAGTTTGTAAACACCCCCAGTGACAGAGACCTCACCACTTTACAGGGCAGCCCATTCCATTGTGGAGTTTCACAAAGTTCTTCCTTAATCGGTCCAAATCTGTGTTCCCCTTTGGGCCACGGGGAATACAGTTCATATACTTCTATACCAGAAACCTCCAGCCAGGGGAGGCCAACTCCCAAATGGTTCAGAAAACAATGTGTTTCTCCACTTTAACTTATGGCAGAATGTGCCTGTTGCCCATCTCCTTGCAGCTGCTGTTACCCACAGCTCCTCAAAACCCTGCTGGGCCTTCTGGTCCCCTCACCACGCCTGTCCTGCCCACTTTGGCCAGATGACAGAGCAAATGAGGAACTAGCAATTTGGGTTCTCCTTTTAAAATTATATCATCATGTTAAGTGAGGTGCCCGTTTTTACTCTGTTTTTCCTGCTCTAAAAATAAAAGGCCCCTTTTATGAAAATAAAAGGCATTTTCCAGAAGTCCCAGCAAGTCTGGGCTTCAGCCCCCAGGCCCACATCTGGGTCAGTCCTTTCACTTAGCAGGTTCAATTCCAGGTCAGGGCACATACCCAGGTTGAAGGTTCGATACCCAGGTGGGGCGCATACAGGAGGCAACCAGTTGACGTTTCTCTCTCACATCAATGTTTCTCTCTCCCTTTCTCCCTCTCTCCTTCCTTCCCTCCCTCCTTTCCTCTCTTCCTCTCTCTAAGATCAATTATTAAAACCTCAGCTATGGCAAGATAAATTTGGGACAGACTCAAGAATATGACTATAAGAATCAAGGGACATGAGAACTAAATACCAAGAGAAATTGTACCTCTGCTCCCACTGGGTGTGCGTGTGTCTGTGCTAGAGATAGAAGGCAACTCTAGATGGTCTCTGGAAGCCCCTCCCTTCCATCGGTCTGTGATTTATGGATTCAAAGAACATCTAACAATAGCCTGCAAAGACTTCCCTTCACTGAGTCCTGTGAAAGCAGAAAACAAAGCTCCAATGATAGAGAGACAGGCAGAGCAACTGGAGCTGAAGCCTAAGACATCTTGTTAGTTCTTTCTCAAACAAAAACTCTTCTTGTCCACCGGAACAAATTACAATGACATGAAATCTTAAAAT